TTGAGCGCTGAGGAGCCTGAAACGGCGAGTGCGCCCGGGTCTTGGCTCCGGAGCGCTGGGGTTGGGAAGCGCAGAGAACAACAGAGAGCCTTTACTTCGGGATCCTTGAGAAGGGGCGCGTGTTCTCCGGTCTCGGCATCTCCCCGGCGCCCGCTTGGCTGAGTCCGGCCGGGGGACGCGGCCGCTCTTACGCGAAGCATCACTTTGGATCTCTCCATCTCTACTTCACCTCCTCTCTCTGTCCCTCTCTCTGTACGTCTATTAACAGCGCCTCTCTTAACCCCTCTGTATATTTCTGTCTCCTCACCCTGCCTTTCTATATTTCCACCTTCTCTTAGCCCCCTTTTCTATACATTTCTATCTCATCTCTATATTTCCATCTCCCATATCTCTTCTCTTTTCCATATATTCCTAACATCCTCTCTGCTTTTCTTTATATTTCTGTCCTCTCTTGCCCTGGAACCAAGCCATTGCCCCAGGTTTGGGGGAGTGCCTGTGGATCCGCGACTGCACAGTTGGCAGCGTTGTGCGCGCGGGCGCGCACACACACACACACTCTCTCCACCGTTGCTGGGAATTAGCTGGCAGTTCACCAACCTGCCCTGACTGTCGTTGGCCATAAATGCTTTGGAAAGGTTTACCTTAGTTTCTATCCCTTGCTACGGAGAGAGTCACTTCTTAAAAGGGTTGTTCCAATGGTTTGAAGGCAACACTGCTCCTCCAGGTAACTTGTCCAGGAGCCCATCAGGTGGATAGGGTAGAACCCAGTCATGGGTAGTTTGCCCTGGGCCAGGTTAGATTGCCTGACAGGTAAACATGGGATCCCAGGTGCAAACCCTAGGGGTGGCTCCTAGGTTGAGCAAGAGGTGGCCTGCTGGCCTTCTCTGCTGTCATGTTTCTCAGGAGGTGATCAAGGCCTTGGTGACAACTCACACAGCTGTGGTGACAGCTCACACAGCTCACCACCTTGGGCTTCGCTCAGATGTGAATCGCTGCCCTCCCCCCCCCCACCTGCCCCAGGAGGTGGGGAGAACTGGCCCTGTGGTGCCCTTGGTGATACTGGCAATGGGTACCTGCCAAGGCATTCCTGACACTGGGGGCCACTCCTCCACCAGCGTGTGGCCTCTGCTGGACGTGAGGGTTCTGGAGGCCACAGAAGCTTAAGGAGAACTAGATTTGTTTGCAAGGTAGCCTATGTCTTGGCAGGTCTGCTTCTTTTAGGTGTACTCTTTTTTTAAAAAAAAAATACTTTATTTAAAAATCAAGAATACTTTATTGATGTTTAGAGGGAGAGGAAAGGGGGGGGAAGAGAGAAACATTGATATGAGAACATAGCATCTATGGGCTGCCTCCTGCACACCCCCAACCAGGGATTGAGCCTGAAACCTGGGCATGTGCCCTGACTGGGTGTTGAACTGGCAACCCTTCGATGCATGGGCTAGATATGCTCCACCAGCCAGGGCTAGATATGCTCTTAAATAGCTTATAAGCTGGGCCGACCACAGTCTGCTTGTGTTTCTCTAAAACCTTTTGGTGGTGAGGAATGCCGTGCCTCAAATCATGAGGGAGATTTGACTACAGCAAGATGCAGAAACAATCCAGCCCTTTGTGACTTAGAATAAAACATATTTATGGAGCACTTCGTAAACTATAATTGGTCATCCGAATATAGGTTGCTTCTATATATATGTAAATGCATGCATCTGTATGTATGTGTACACACACACACATTTAATAGTCCTTTGAGGTTCATGATGGTGGGCTGAGGTCTGGGAGGGATGACCCTGAGGTTCCGTGTAGAGAGCACTGAGATTGGCTGCATTTGCTCAGTCGTGTGATTTTGAGAGACACAAGTGTGCAGTGATTATTCCTTCCTCCAGGCATCAGAGACTCATCCATTAGACTCTGTCAGTCTGCACGTCTCACACGCAGATGAGAGATTTGCCCTAAAAATCCCCATCAGGACCATTCAGAGCTTGGGGGGTAGGAGGATGTTAAAGCTGATGGATTAATTCCCTCTCCCCGCCTACTTCTAGAATTCTGAGTGTGGTTCTGAGGTGTAGTCTCAGATGCATTCCTCCTTGTGAAAATATCTGCAACCTGAATAGTTATTACATGCTCTTATTCAAGTAGCAGATGGATTTTCTTCCTCCTAAACCTGTTACCGTCTTTCAAAGTGGTATCCTAATTGGGGTCTACTGCAGGTTCCTTTAAGGGCATGGGGAACATTACTGTTCCTGTGCAAAGAACAATAAAACATCAGAAAGCCCCAGATTGATTAGTTTGATATTTTTGCCTTTGAAGCATATCTATTGGATATCCTGTTAGTATAACGATATCGTGGTAAATACTTCTTACAAAACCTGGGCTTCCTTTAAATGCAAAGCATAACTTGTGGAGACTTACTGAATTGGTAAATCAGCTTTGTGGACAAGGACATCAATTACTGGCTGGCAAGGGCTGCGTATCCTTTCTGTTTATCGTCAGTAGAAGTGGAGAGCCTCTGCATGCGAGTCCCTGCTTACTTACCCACTCAGAACCTCAGTTTTCTTGGCTGTGGCCGGGTAGCTCAGTTGGTTAGAGTGTCATCCTGATACACCAAGGTGTCAGATTTGATCCCTGGTTAGGGCACATGTAAGAATCAACCAATGAATGCATAGATAAGTGGAACAACAAATCAACATTTCTCTCTCTGTCTCTCCCTCCCTCTTTCTAAAATCAATTAAAAAAAAAAAGAACCTTAGTTTCCTCATCTGTAAAGTAGGTTACATACTGTCTACTGATGGAAGAGTTTTCATCTCAGCAGGGGCTAAGAGCCACTGATGGTTTTCTAACTTAAAGAAGGACCACGGCCCAGCCGGGCGTGGCTCAGTGGTTGAGCGTCCACCTGGGATCCAGGAGATCGGGGCTCGATTCCTGGTCGGGGCACATGCCCAGGTTGCGGGCTGCAGCCGATCAATGACTCTCTCATCATTGATGTTTCTGTCTCTCTCCCTTTCTCTCTGAAATCAATAAAGATATATATATATATTTTAAAAAAAAAAAGCATGACGGGAGAGTGTTTAAGAGAAACCCCTACCTATCCAGGGGTGGCCACTGCAGTTGGTTCTCAGCCCTGGGTACACATTAGAATCACTTTGGGGACATTTAGGGAGAAAAATCCATACGGGTACTCCAAACCAAGTTAGAATTGCCACAGGGGAGGCCTGGGCATCCTATTTTTTAAAGAGCACCATAGGTTCAGCCACTGGTGGAGAATCACTAATTTAGGAAAGAGCACATAAAGAATTTCAGGTGAGAGAGACTTCGGTGAGCCCCAACCCTGTCCCTTAGTACTTGGTGCTGTGGGTCCCCTTCTCACATGTGGGTCTTAGTTTCCTTGTCTGGAGTGATGAAAGCCATAAAGGCTAATGCTGATGTAGGCCACTGTAGGAAGCATTTCCCATGTATTACGTTGTAGTTAATCCCCCCAAGAAACTTTCTGAAGCATCCCTCCATTTTACTGAAAAGAAGCTAAGACGGTGAGAGATCAAGTAACTTGTCCAAGATCCAAGGAAGCCATGGGAACTGGCTTTGAACTCTTTGTTTGACTCCAGGCCCTGCCCTCTAAGCTACTGTGCTATTGTATTGCCTCCCAAGATTGTCAAATGATTCACTAAAATTCCCTGTCCCTCACTGTCTGTTGGCAGAGACCGTTTAGGGTTGGGAGGGCCATTTACCAAATGTACAATTGTATTCATCAAATCGTACAGAAGAGCTTTGGAAAGAGGGTTGGCTTAACTGGGTCCTTCCCCCTCCCCCCCCCAAAGCCTCA